TGGGAGGCTGGGATGGGAGGATGGCTTGAGCCTGGGAGATGGAGGCTGCAGTGAGCGGCAATTGTGCCACTACTATGCTCCAGCTTGGGCTACAGAGTGAGACCATGTCCAAAAAAACAAAAACAAAACGCAACCTCTGTTCTGCAAAAGACGCTGTTGAGGGAATGAAAAACCTACCACCCTACCAATCGGGGACTGGTTATTAAATGGTCCTGCTGGAATGGAAGCTCTAATAGTGGTGTGGGGGTGGGGGATGTCTTCCGTTTGCCCCTCCTTATCTACTGTCCCTGCTTCTCCACCTTACTCTGGGCCCCAGGTAGAGGGGAGAGGAGGTCAGGTGTTTGTTCACCAGGGTTCCTCCCTGCGCTGGGCCACCACTATTCGTCTGTTTCCTCCGTCAATCTAAGTTACTCTCTCCTCCCCAAGTCAGGCAACCACACACACACCCTCAACCCTCTCCCCTTCCTTCAGGCCTGTGAATGAGGCCCCTCACCCGTGCTGGCCCCAGGAGCTTGCACTAGCTCTCGTCATTTGCCTTTACTATCCAATCGCTTTATAAAGGCTTCTGGTATCAACCCCACCTCAAATTATCCTAAATTGACGGGCCCATCTGTTTCCTGCTGGGCCCTAACTGATACACTATAATTAAAGATGTGGGAGAATGCAAATGAGAGATAATGGTAAGACATAAAAAGCCAGCTACCAAACTGTATACAGCATGGTTCCAATTTGGGTGAAATTGCTCACAGAAAGGAAAACAAAAGGAGGAACAGTGACAAATTGTTAAAAAATATTTACCTCCAGGAGGTGAAATATAAGACTTACTTTAACTCTCCAAGTTGTATGTTTTGTATTGATGGAATCTTTTTACAAGGAACAAGTGTTACTTTGACAGTCAGAAAACATATGCACAAATAAACACATGGAAAATTCCTATGTATTGGGACAAATTGTTCCAGAAGTGGGATGAGGGATAAGAGGAGGATGGTGAAGTTATAGGTGATGCTTTTTCTCTTTTATGCTTTTGTGTATTTTTCAAGCTTTATCCACTGAACATGCATGGCTAATTTTATCAGAAAAAGTAGATTTTATGTTTAAACTAACAAAAAGAGATTGATTGAGACAGACAGAGAGACCCGGATCAGGATGCTTGTTGGAAAAAATGAATAAGAAAGATGGAGTTGGCCGGGCGCGGTGGCTCAAGCCTGTAATCCCAGCACTTTGGGAGGCCGAGACGGGCGGATCACGAGGTCAGGAGATCGAGACCATCCTGGCTAACACGGTGAAACCCTGTCTCTACTAAAAAATACAAAAAAAAACTAGCCGGGCAAAGTGGCGGGTGCCTGTAGTCCCAGCTACTCGGGAGGCTGAGGCAGGAGAATGGCATGAACCCGAGTGGAGGAGCTTGCAGTGAGCTGAGATCCGGCCACTGCGCTCCAGCCTGGGTGACAGAGCAAGACTCCGTCTCAAAAAAAAAAAAAAAAAAAAAAAGAAAGATGGAGTCACACAAAGTCAGAGACAGGAAAAGAGAAAGAGCGAGAGAGAGAGAGAGAGAGAGAGCGCGAGCGAGCAAGACATAGGAGGATATGCTGAAAAAGATAAGTAAGGGCAGTTATGGCATAGAGAACAAGCTTTGAAACTGGGCAGTGTGTGGGTTCAAACCCCACCTCTGCCATTTATTAGCTGTGTATCTTGGAACAGTTCCTTTACTTTACTGGGCCTCAGTGTTCCAGCTGTAAAATAAGGTAATAGAACCTCCCTTTTGTGTCTTTTTTATTTTTTGAGATGGCGTTTCACTCTTGTTGCCCAGGCTGGAGTGCGATGGTACGATCTCGGCTCACTGCAACCTCTGCCTCCCAGGTTCAAGTGAGTCTCCTGCCTCAGCCTCCCGAGTAGCTGGGATTACAGGCATGCACCATCATGCCCGGCTAATTTTGTATTTTTAATAGAGATGGGATTTCTCCATGTTGGTCAGGCTGGTCTCGAACTCCCGACCTCAGGTGATCTGCCCGCCTCGGCATCCCAAAGTGCTGGGATTACAGGCATGAGCAACCATGCCTGGCTTGTGTCTTTTTTTTTTTTGAGACAGTCTCTTACTCTGTTGCCCAGGCTGGAGTGCGGTGGCACAGTCATAGCTCACTGCAGCCTCAACCTCCCAGACTCAAGAGATCCTTTCATCTCAGCTGCATGAGTAGCTGGGACTACAGGTGCATGCCACTGTCAGAGGCATTTGAACCAGAGCGACTCCATCTTGAGTGAGGGCTAGGAAAAATGAGGCTGGGACCTGCTGAGCTGCATTTCCAGGAAGTTAGGCATTCCCAGCCTCTAGATGTTTACTGTTAAGGGAACAGATTGATAACGTTTACTAACAGACCCAGACTCAGGAATGTCCTGAAATCCCGTTATCTTGAGAACAGAAGCATTCCTCATTTTGCTTTAAAGATAGTAATATCGGTTCTTGCAAAATATGGTAATTAAGAAATTTAATCCCTTATCACCAACCCTTACAGCAGAGCACATCGCCCCATGATATTTTTTGTTATTCAACATATAAACAAGCATTGTACCTAGGGTGGGCCCATTCCTCTTACTTTCAGGAACACCCTACTTTGTCTATGGAGTAACTATTCCTTCACCACCTTGCTTTTTTTTCCCTCACTCTGTTGCCCAGGCTGGAGTGCAGTGGCATTGCAATCTTGGCTCACTGCAACCTCCGCCTCCTGGGTTCAAGCAATTCTCCTGCCTCAGCCTTCCGAGTAGCTGGAACTACAGGTGTGCACCACCACACCCGGCTAATTTTTTTGAATTTCTAGTAGAGACAGAGTTTTGCCATGTTGGTCAGGCTGGTATTGAACTCCTGACCTCAAGTGATTCACCTGCGTCGACCTCCCAAAGTGCTGGGATTACAGGTGTGAGCCACTGCACCCAGGCACCACTTTACTTTTTAAAGTAAACTTGCTTTTGCTTTGCACTGTGGACTCGCCCCAAATTCTTTCTTGCACAAGATCTAAGAACCCTCTCTTGGGGTCTGGATTGGGACCCTTTTCCAGTAACACCACCATGCCCAGTGAATTTTTTAATCCCTTTTTTAGAGACAGGGTCTCACTATGTTGCCCAGGCCGGTCTCAAACTCCTGGGCTCAAGCAATCTTCCTTCCTTAGCCTCCCAAACTACTGGGATTACAGGCCTGAGCCACTGTGCCCAGTTTTGTGTCATTTTTGACAATGAAACTGTCACCTGTAAACGGAGTTGTTTCCTTGCTCTGCATTGGTTGCAAAGAAAGAACACCCAGTTGGAAACAAAAAGGCAAATAGATTTTATTCCTGGCTAGGATGGGGAAGGAGAGAACTCTTGCTCTAAAGACACCTTATCCCTGGGTGCGCTCATGCCTGTACTCACATCACTTTGGGAGGTCAAGGTGGGCGGATCACCTGAAGTCAGGAGTTTGAGGCCAGCCTGGCCAACATGGTGAAACCCCATCTCTGCTAAAACTACAAAAAACTAACAAGGCGTGGTGGCATGTGCCTGTAATCCCAGCTACACAGGAGGCTGAGACAGGAGAATCCCTTGAACCCGGGAGGTGGAGGTTGCAGTGAACCGAGATTGTGCCACTGCCCTCCAGCTTGGGCAACAAGAGTAAAACTCCATCTCAAAACAAACAAACAAACAAACACCTTATCGCCCAGCGGTAGGGAGCTGGGAAATTTTAAGGAGTTAGCTATGGGGTAGGATGGTATGTAAGCTTGTGCAGGAAGCAACTCCAGACACAGGTCGGATCATAAGCATGCCTCTTCATATGATGTATGTTCAGCAAATGGCGAGCATATTTTCCTCCATGGGTAGGGAGTTTAGCATGATAATTATATATTAATGATCTAAAGGTAACCATGGGTCACTGTGTCTGGTTTGCACTTGTTTTGCCTCAGCCTTATCTTCCTCCAGTAATAAGCAAAGGAAGCATTCTGAAGATCCTGTGGCCTTTCTGGCCATCTGCAGTTCTTTTAAGCAATGCACCTATAGATAAAGAGACTAGAAAAAAAACGGTTTAAGAAAATAATGAGGCCAGGTGCAATCCAAGCATTTTGGGAGGCTAAGGCAGGCAGATGGCTTGAGCTCAGGAGTTAGAGACCAGCCTGGGCAACATGGTGAAACCAAGTTTCTACAAAAAATGGTGGTGGTGCCCACCGGTAGTCCTAGCTACTTTGGAGAATGAGGTGGAGGATTGCTCCAGCCTGGGAGGTTGAGGCTGCAGTGAGCTGTGACTGCACCACTACTACAGCCTGGGCAACAAAGCAAGACCCTATCTCTAAAATAAAATAAATAAAATAAGCGTTCTCTTTCTCAGCTACACCTCCAGGGCTGCCCTGGTACAAAAATGAGATGATATGTCTGTGTCAATTACATAGAAGAGAGCCTGATGTATAGTCAACACTACACAAGGGCTGGTTGTGATTGCAGAACGAAGATAAGGACAACCAGGGTGAAACAAAGAAAAAGGAAACAGACAGTAGAAACAGGGACAGAGACAATTTGGAAACCGAGTGTTGGAGGGTAGCCATCCCGGGCACAGGCCAACCTTGGGTTGAAGTCCTCACACCCGACTGGGATCCCAGAGGCCTGGGGCCAGCTCTGATGTTGGGAAAGCTTGCCCTGGACAGGAAAGTCCGGCTGCAAACCCCATTCTCAGCCCTGCACATAAAAGCCAGCATGGACCATCGAGGCACTGTTGCCCAAGTGGAGACTGCTCTGGACACCTCCCAGGGGACAGTGGACGGCAGCACCTGCTGCAGCACCAGGCGCGGAGGGTGCACTGCAGAGAGGAGTGAGGGCAGAGGCCAAGGCGAGGAGGGGGCCGGCTCCCGCTCTCTCCCCCTGTGTGTGCCGCGCCTTCAGGCTCCGAGCATCGCCTCCCCTGCGAGCCTAACCCAAGGCGGGGGTCTGGACGCGCGGGACCCTCTCTTTGGCTTCCCTGACGTCTCTTGCCTGCTGCAGAAGCAGAGATGCGGCCAAGTGTCTGGGCCATGGTGGCCGCCGGGCTGTGGGTCCTGTGCACGGTGGTCACAGCGGTCCCCCGGCGCTGCCTGCTCTCGCACTACCGCTCGCTGGAGCCCCGGACGCTGGCGGCGGCCAAGGCGCTGAGGGACCGCTACGTAAGTCACCGCCCAGCCCCTGCGCCCCCTGGGACTCTGGCCCCACCGGGTTCCCATACACCCGTCCCTGTCCCTAGGGGTCCTGCGTCCTAGCGCCCAGCAGGCGCCTCTCGTATGCCAGCGACCGCAATTCCCACCACGAGACCCCCGCAGTCCCCGTCGTCAGCGCGAACGCAGGCTTAGGGTCAGTCACAGAAGGGCGCCCTGACGGGCGGACTCGGCTTCAGGTCAGAGCGCAGGGCTTTCCTGGAGGAGCGCGGGGTGCAGTTCAACCCGGGTTCACGCCTTCGGGGAGCTCCCTGGTTCAGTATACGACAGGCACGACCGTACGCTGCCAGTACCCATCCACGTCCAGGAATCCCAGACTGTGCAGAGGTTAGGGGCCCTGGCGAGGGGGCCCAGCATACGCGAAAAGCGCCGCTTATCCCGCAGGAGGAAGAGGCGCTGAGATGGGAGCCGCGCAACTGCTCCTTCCGCCCCAGGAGGGATCCTCCGCGGCCGTCGGTGAGGCCCGGGAGCGAGCGGGGAAGGCATGGACCGGGCGCGGCCCCCTCTAACACCCTCTGGTCCCCGCAGTCCTGCGCTCAGCTCCGCCACGTGGCCCGGGGCATCGCGGACGCCCAGGCCGTGCTCAGCGGCCTGCACCGCCCGGAGTTGCTCCCCGGCGCCGGCCCGATCCTGGAGCTGCTGGCGGCCGCAGGGAAGGACGTGGCGGCCTGCGTGAGTGACGACCGCGCCCGCCGCCCCTCGCCCTCGCCAGCTTCTCTGCATCCTCAGGCCCACGGCGTGCCCCAGCGCTTTGCGAATCTGTCCCGCTTAGCGGAAAAACCGATCCAGACCCGATTCGGGTCCTCTGGGTGTCCTCAAATCCGGGCTCGGGTCTGCGGCTGGGAGGGTCACGGGCAGATGCAGAGGGGGGCTTCGTCCTTCACCTTCTCCATTTGCCTCATGTCTCACCTCCAGCTCGAGCTGTCACGACCAGGCTCCTCCAGGAAGGTCCCCGGGGCCCCGAGGAGGCGTCACAAACCGCGGAGAGCTGTGAGTGCAGCAGGCAATACAGGGTTAGCCTGCAGGGAGGACCGGGCGAGGCTGACAAGGACGGGACTGAGGCTGGGAGAGCGGGACTGGTGGGTCTTCTTGGGAGGGAAGAGCCAGGCTTAGCCCCGCTGCGCTCCCTCCTGGGCTCTAGGACTCGCCTCGGTGTCGCGAAGTCAGCGTGGTCTTCAACCTCCTGCGCCTGCTCACGTGGGAGCTCCGACTGGTTGCGCACTCCGGGCCTTGCCTCTGACCCCGCCTCTGACCCCGCCCCTTGCCTCTGACCCCGCCCCCTCCGGCACCACCTAAACCTCCACGCCATTGGCTGCCGAAAGCGGCTCCTGTCGCCCATTGGAGTGACCAGACAAGGCTCTCAGCCAATGGGTGCTGAGGCACGAGAACTTCTTTGCAGCTTTGGGCCTGACTTGGATCCACTGTCTCAGATACAAGATGAGTGGGTCCTTCTACAGGGTCAAGAGAGTGCAGTTCTCCAGGAAGCAGCGATATTTCCTCGGGGTATATTGTACGACCCTCCAAGGGTTGCTATGACAGAAAGAGACTTGAGCTCTGGAAACCGTCGCTGACCCCCAAGCAACAGGGACCAGTTCCTCCTTGTGTGGTTACCAGGACACCCCCAACACCAGGTCCTGACCCCGGATTTGTAGCCCCACAGCCAGCTTTGAGATTCTGTGAATCTGTGACTCTTGGATCAGGCATCTAAGGGACACCAATCCATGAGGGATTTGGTAGTGAAAGGCCCAAGAGTCCTTAACTGGCTGTGGTTCTTTGGATTCCCTAACGTGTGTTGTTTGTATTTGTGAAATTCCTGTGTATTTGCTTTTCTGTCTCCTGGTTTAAATTTATTGGCAGTTATTAAAGAGCGTTTTGATTGCATTGGTTGTTTTCCGTATGATGATTGTGAGGTGCGCCTTACTGCAAAAAAAGAGGCTGAGCCAGGGACTCAGGTGGCCTGAGTTTCAGTTCTGACCCTGCCAGTTAATTACAGTGTAATTCAGAGCAAATTACTTTTCTGAGCCTGTATTTCCTCACCTGTAGGATGGGTTAGTATACTTGCCTTGTGGAGGAGTAGTGTACATTGAGATCATGTTTTAAACTCTCCAGCTGAAGTCCTGGTATGGCCTTAATGAGTGGATTCCATTAAATAATCACTCGTATAAATACACAAGCAGTTGTGTTGTTAATTTTTTCTCCAAATCTGTGTATTAGCACTCTGTGTTGCTGAAAGCACCCCTCCTTGCCAAGGTCACACGGCTAGTGAGGGTCAGAACCGGGTTTGAACCCCCGACCCTTCAGCTCCAAGACCCATGCTCTTGATCACTGCCTGAACTTCCATAAGAAAAACAGCACCCATGTGGTGTCCTTCAAGTCCTTCATCACTTCCTTGCCTGGCAATTAAGAAATATTGGCATCTGGGTGTGGTGGCTTACCACTGAAATCCCACCAATTTGGGAGGCATAGACAGAGAAATCACTTGACATCAGGAATTTGAGACCAGCCTTGCCAACATGGTGAAACGCCACCTCTACTAAACATATAAAAATTAGCTGGAAATGTTGGCACAAATCTGTAATCTCAGCTACTTGGGAGGCTGAGGCAGGAGAATCGCTTGAACCCAGGAGGCGGAGGTTGCAGTTAGCCAAGATTTTGCACTGCACTACAGCCTGGGTGATCAAACAACATCCTGTTTAAAAAAAAATATATATATATATGTATATATAAATAAATATATAAATATATTAAAATATAAATATATATACACACAAATATATATAAATATATATATACACACACACATACATACACACACACACACACGTGCGCACGCGCCCAATGCCAGGAGTGGTGGCTCAGGCCTGTAATCTCAGCACTTTAATAGGCTGGATGAGGAGGATTGCTTGAGCCCAGGAGTTTGAGGCTGCAGTGAGCTATGATCACGCCATTGCACTCCAGTGACAGAGTGAGACCCTATCTTAAACTACAACAACAACAACAAAAGCAGAGCAGGTGGAATCCTCTTGGGAACACACCTTCCTGTAGGTAATCCCTGAGTCTCCATCAGTTTCTCTTTCCCTCCAGCTGCTCACCTGGCTCACTGGCCCTGCCCTGCTCTGGGCTTTCCCAGCCTGGGGCTCCCCTGGTGGCCGGTGTCTTACCTGAGGTGGTGTTTTCACTTTTCCCACATCAGCTGGGACTGCCCTTCTGTCAGGGATAAAAGCCGCCCCATGGAGCTCAGGCAGGAGTTACATCTCAGACAGAGCTCAAAACTGACAGAAAGAGTCGAGGCCAGGACACAGTCTGAGATCCAGAAGAGGGGACGGAAAAGAACAGAGACTCCAAACGAGACCCAAACGGACCCCGGGTGACAGCCTCAGAGTGTTTCTTCTGCTGACAGAGACCAGAGATCAGGAATGAAACTAGGTGAGTCCCACATCTCTGTCCGTGCTCAGCTCCTGCAGCCCCTGCCCTCAGGGGGCAGCCTCGCCATCCCCTCAGCTCCCTTTCTGTCTGTGACACAGACATAACCGGGGGCTGCATGCCAGTGCTGGTGCTGATGGCCGCAGTGCTGACCATGACTGGAGCAGTTCCTGTCGCCAGGCTCCACGGGGCTCTCCCAGATGCAAGGGGCTGCCACATAGCCCAGTTCAAGTCCCTGTCTCCACAGGAGCTGCAGGCCTTTAAGAGGGCCAAAGATGCCTTAGTGAGTCTCCCCCTGCCCTCCTGCCATGGGCTAGCCTCCACCCCCACTCCAAGGGTCACCATGCTTTCCTAGTCCCAGCTTCCTTCACTGGGCTAGCCTCCACCCTCCCTGCAGTGGGCTATCTCATGCTCCTACTACAGGGACTGACTCATGTTTTCCTGTAGAAGAGGGTCCTCTACCATCGTCCCAGCAGTTAACCTCCCCTATCCTGTTGTCAGCCATCCTCCAATCCCATCAGAGTGGTCTAACCTCCAACCCTCCTGCTGGGGCTAACCTGTGCCTTTGCTGTCTAGGAAGAGTCGCTTCTGCTGAAGGACTGCAAGTGCCGCTCCCGCCTCTTCCCCAGGACCTGGGACCTGAGGCAGCTGCAGGTGAGAGGGGGAGTCAGGCCCACGCCTGCCCTCCCGACCCCGCTCACCTGGCTCTGTAGTGGCCCCTTCACCTTCTCCTTCTCCCTGGTCTCTCTCGCTCCTCTCCCCACACCTGCTCCCCCTTCCCTCTGCTCCCACCTGACCACACTGGCTGTGCCCTCTCCCCTGTGCCTGTCACCTTCACTTGTTCCTCTCTATCCTCCTCCCCCCACCTGTTCCCCTCACCTGCCCCCTCACCTGTTCTTTCTCACCTCTCCTCAGGTGAGGGAGCGCCCCGTGGCTTTGGAGGCTGAGCTGGCCCTGACGCTGAAGGTTCTGGAGGCCGCCGCTGACGCTGACTCGGTCCTGGTGGATGTCTTGGACCAGCCCCTTCACACCCTGCACCACATCCTCTCCCAGCTCCGGGCCTGTGTGAGTCCTCCGGGCCCAGGCACCCAGGTCTGTGGACTCTGAGCAGCATCCTTCCCCTGTGGTGGCCCAGGCCCCGCCTCACACACGGCTCTCCTCTGCCCACAGATCCAGCCTCAGCCAACGGCAGGGCCCAGGCCCCGGGGCCGCCTCCACCACTGGCTGCACCGGCTCCAGGAGGCCCCAAAAAAGGTGAGTGAGCTGGGAAGAGAGGGACTGAGGTCTGGGGAGCCACTAGGAGTCCAGACCCTGGACAGCCCCTGACCCATCCCCTTCTCCCTACAGGAGTCCCCTGGCTGCCTCGAGGCCTCTGTCACCTTCAACCTCTTCCGCCTCCTCACGCGGGACCTGAAATGTGTCGCCAGTGGGGACCTGTGTGTTTGACTCTCCCACCAGTCATGCAATCTGAGATTTTATTTATAAATTAACCGCTTGTCTTAATTTATTGCCACCCAATCGCTATTTATGTATTTGTGGGTATAAACCCAACTCACCTCCAGGCAAATGTTTATTTTTCTACTTTTTATAACCCTTGTTGAAATAAACAATGAGGAAAAGACACCCATGACGTGGGACTGTGTGTGTGTTGGTGTGTATTTCCTTTGCGTTGCTGCCATAACAAATTACTCTAAAAGTAGCGTCTAGAACAGCAGGTTCGTTGAGGCTGTGCTGGCCACTGGGGTCCCCAGGCCCCATGTCACCATCGAGTACCTGGAATGCAAGTGGTGCAACCTCATTTTGTCAGTGAGTGTAATACATACCCCAGAATTTGAAGATTTACTGTGGGAAAAAAATGTAAAACAGCTTAATTATAATTTGTATATTCATTAGATGTTGAAATGATAGCACTTTGGATGAATTGGGTGAAATTAAGCATCTTTAAAATTAATTTAGAGCCCGGATGCGGTTGCTCAAGCCTGTAATCGCAGCACTTTGGGTGGCTGAGGTAGGAGGATTACTTGAGCCCAGACCAGCCTGGGCAACATAGCAAGATCCTGTCTGTGCAAAAAATTAAAGAATTGGCTGGGCATGGTGGTACAAGTCCATAATCCTAGCTACTTGCAGAAGCTGAGATGGGAGGATTGCTTGAGGTCAGGAGTTCCCGACCAGCCTGAGCAACATAGCAAGATTCTGTCTCTTGTGTGATCACATCTCACTGCAGCCTCAAACTCCTGGGCTCAAGTGATTCTCTCTCTTCAGCACCATCCTCCACCCACCCCAGCCCCTCCTGGAACTGGGATTACAGGCTTGAGCCACTGGGTCCAGCCCATTCTCTTTCCAAGAAGCACCTGAATCGTATAAGCAAACATGAGGTCTCATTAACCCTGGATTGGCCCCCACAAATGAGGAGGACAACTTGGATCAGGGATCCCTGCTGAGTACAGTTGGCTGAACTGCTGGAACAAAGAGTCCCCCAAATACAGTGACCGTGGATTACAAACCACAGAGTGTCATTCTCCAAGAGCTCCTCCTCCCAAGGTGAGCGCTCCCCCTGGTAGGAAGGCCCCACCCAGTCATCCAGGGGCCCTGGTTCCTGGCAGTTCTGTGCTCCACAGTCCCCGGGGCAGGGCTCCCTCACCATCTTCACCCACCGGACCTGACGGCAGCCTTGAAAAGCCTACGGACCCTTCTCAGAATGAAAGAACACGCGCAGGACAAAGGAATCCAACTCTGATTGTAATACAGTGATCAAAATATTTTTTCACACTGTGACATAGCAATTCATGTGCTTCTTCATTAATGCATTAAGTAAAA